TTGCTGCGATACTGTCACAAAACAAATGGCAGCCTTGACAGCTCCTGGCCGCTTTGAACGCCTGGCAGTCATCTTTTATTCACAAATGCAGATTTTATGCCTTTTACAGCCCAGATTGTAACCTGTTGTTAAGCGCCCGCTTCCCCCCGATCTTGTGTTGAATTATTGACATCTACATAATGTACAGATGGAGAGAGCGTGAGGAGGGTGGCTGACTGGGAAAGCGGGAGGGAAGAGGAAGAAGAGATTTTTCACAGCGAACAAAACAAATGTGGCGGGCCTTCAGTCGGGACTTCATCCACATCGTAATATCGCCACTATCACATCACAGTTCTAGAAACCATCAAAACTATTCCAAAAAACAATGTCAAAAGGTTAGGGTTTAGGGCAAGGGTTAAGGTTTCACATTGGGGGTTTTAGCCTGGGTTTTGGTTTGTTGTTTGGGTTTTAACCCTTTCAAGGACAGCGGTTACTACAGTGGACAGCTTTTCATTAGCATTTCATTGCCAACCTTAGAGATTCAAAATGTGAATTCTAACTAAAAGAAAAAAAATCTAGCTTTGCTCTGAGCAACAAATCAAGCAAAATGCTGATATCATTGATCATTGAGAGCCAGCGCTTTGGCCCTAGGAGGATGAATTTTGAAATTCAGGTGGTTCAAGAAACAGTCCCATTGCTTATGTAGTTTAAGTTACATCAGCCAGGAGTGCTGACACTGAAGAATAGTTTGACATGGCGACAAATACAGGCTAAAAAAAAAAAAAGCGAACATACGTAACAGAAATGTTTCAAAATGAAGAAAAGAGACCATATCCAGTCTCGAAAATGTCATGGTGTGGTCTTGACGACAACACTACGATTAGGAATAAAATAATATAATTTCATGGAATAATATTAGAATTTAGGTTGTAAATGTAGGGCTTCTGGTTTGTGTTAAGGCCAGCAGAGAACACCTACAACTGCATTTTGTTGTATTATAACATGCTTTCATGTGTATGAGCTCAAGCTGTGAATCTTCATATGCAAATACCCCCCCACCTCCCACCCCCTCTCTCCCTCCCTCTCTCTCTCTCTCTCTCTCTCTCTCTCTCTCTCTCTCTCTCTCTCTCTTATCTGGCTGCAGAGTGAGTTACAACTCGCATCAGCCAAGCAGACAGCCGGGCAACTGGTCCACCTTCGTGCCTTAAATCACAGCGGCTCCAGAGGGAGGTTGGATAGTGGGGGAGAAGGAAGGGGAGAGGAAGCGGAATAAAATAACAACATTAAACCACCTTTTCACCATGATGCCCCACATCCTTCAGGGTGGCAATAGCTCAGGCATTCTTTCAGTAAACAAAGCCTTCTGTGACATTTGAATGAGGCAGAGCGATTGAAAAATTAAAAAAAGACGGGAAATGGCGTGGATGATCATGTGAGTCTTCTTGACCGCAGCAATTGTTTGAGTATGTTAAATGTCAATCGAAAAATGATGTCACGTGCTAAATTGACAGATGGGCCGTAATCAGTCTTTTAACATAATGGAGTACAAATACTTCAGTACTTGGGATTTTCACATATCATAATTAAGCCACTGCCACTCCTTCTGGTGTGCGTGACTTGGTCACCAAGGGCCAGTGTAATACAGTCATTCATACACACACGATGAAGAACCTCACAACTACTGTAGCTGCTCGTATTGTGTGACTCGGTAAGCCGATGTAGTATTCGTTGTTGTTGAATACATGCTTGTCAGTATTGCTACATTATTACATGTGTTGATGCACCATTCACGGTCACATATCTATTGCTCAAAGCATTATAACACCACCACATAGATGCTTCACGTTAAGCCTGTCTATGGTATTTTTGCATTGTGTTGTTTGTGAGCATTGAGATCAACTGTATTTTAACCAGTGAACTGCTTCTTGTGTTCAAATACAAGTTAATAAATGTTCAGAACCATAGCAATGCCATTGCTAAGGTTCTGAACATTTATCGTTATTTGCTTAACGGTGTGTTGGCATTAAGCTAGCATGGGCATCATTATGGAAACGTTGTTTGGTTGTTTTAAATACAGAACGTGGCATTCTCCTTTTACATGTTAAGTGTGACAGTAAACTTCGACTGGGAGTGGCATTAAATAGCTCAAATCTTTTTTTTGAAGAACGGTCCTGTGAGTTTTAGCTCGCAAGTCAAAGCAAAAAATTCTCTCAAAGAAAAATGAGAATCTGGTGAGCGAGCATAGCGAATGATTCCCAACATCAGCTGAAAGTTTATGATGAAGGCAGTCAGAAGGATGCCAAAAATGACTCATTCTCTCAAAATGTAAATTAGTGACAAGAGTTACCACAAGGTTGTTTAAACTGGAGGACGTGTCACTCTTCGCTCATTTTGCAACTTTACCCTTGGGAAAAAATGGAAAATAAATGGTTGCTTGGGTACAAGCTGTCTGATGGGCTGCTTGGTCAAAATTATTTTGGATGATGTGTATATTTAAAACGCACTCAAAGCATGCTCTAGAAAATTGGACCGTGACATCCTTGACTCTATTTTTCACTCTCACACACACAAGCACAGAAATCTCACCCCACTTTTTACTCATCACTCGCACTTGATCCACTCTCTTGCGAGTCGGTGTCAACTTGTGTTTCCACCTCAGTGTCACAGCATCACACAGAACACGCACACGCACGCACACACGCATACATTCAAACGTCACCCCGTTTCTCACCAATCACTCGCACTTGCTCGACTCTTTTGTGAGTCAGTGTCAACTAGTGTTTTCACCTCAGTGTCACGGCATCACAACACATCCACACACATAGACACGCAAGCAGGGATGCACACATAGAGAGGCTGGCTTAAGTTAACGTTGTGTGACACCCTCTCAGCCCTGATTCCAGGTCAGTCATTTGTGCTTCATCGTGCCCTATAGCGGATAAAAAGATTGGAAGAGATTATTCCACTACTTTTGATTGACAAAATATGGCGGGCCAAAAGGACGTACTGTATAGGCTAATAATCCCTTGTTTCTTGCAGGAGTTAGTTCCAGATCACCCCAGTGATTGAAAGTGCACTGATGGCTGACTCTAACTTTAACCTCCTGTGGAGAGATTAGTTTGAGCTAACTAGTGGCGCTGGACTAAATAAAATTAGCTAACAATGTTTACTTTACCATCGATGTGCAGTGGTGTAACTTGAGCCTGTTGTGCTTTGCAATAGACACATTGCTCTTTATCTTCTTATGGGAAGTCAGGTCAAAAATGTTTTTTACAGAATGTTCTATGCGCCTCCACTCATCTAAATGTGGTATTCTGATTAATGTGCTGTTTGTGGAATATTAAATCATGCAGCAAAATCTACCCGTTTTTACCCATCTCAGTGGCGGCCATTTTGCCACTTGCTGTCAACTGAAAATGACACACCAGCGTCTAAGGTAGTGGTACTTAACCTTGTTAAAGGTACTGAATCCAACCAATTCATATGCAGTTCACCGAACCCTTCATTACCGAAAAATAAAAATCTGAGTCAAGTTAAATGGCCAAAGGGGTACAAATGACTTTGTGTGTGTGTGTGTGTGTGTGTGTGTGTGTGTGTGTGTGTGTGTGTGTGTGTGGTGAGCTGTTAACAAATATGTGCTGAGAGTGGCCTAATTGGAGTTAATTGGCCATCTGTCTAAGCTCAGTAGAGACAGGGTCATTAACAGACACAAGTAGTCCAGCCACAGGGGGAAACACCATCACTCACTCTCCACATTTTCCTCTTCTCCTCCTCGTCTATTAAAAAAAACAGTAACTGACAACGAAATAAATAATAATTACCACTATTGTCACAAAACGCGACGTTTCTATTGAAACGCGGCGCTTTTGTGTCACGAGGACAGGTAGTTGTAAAAAGGGAGAACATTTTTCATCGGTTAGTGGTTTGTGCTTCCCTCTGGTGGGTAAATGCAACGGCTGCATCCAAAAGCGTTGATCCGATAACATTTTATTTTAATGAACGCTTGGGGGGGATAATAATGAAACACGGTAACAAAATCAAACATATAACATTCAAGTGTTTCAGATTCAGCTAATTGCAAAAGTGCATTCTTTCGAAATAAAATACATTCATTTTTTTTAGGAGTAGCCTAGAAAAATTATTCAAAGCTATTATTATCAATAATTACTCTCGTATTGTGTTTTGTTTAATTTCCTCAATAATGTAACATGAAACTTATTTCCAACAATAACACATGTATATTATTATTATTATTATTATTACTGCATAACATACACCATAAACTACAATTAAATAAGATTAGCTACAGAGAGAAATCATTATTGGCATTTAAACGAAATATAACAACAACAACAACAACAATAATAATAATAATAGGCATCGATCGGTTATTCCCCCCAAAAAACATGTTTAAAGTTCACAAATTTTTGAGAAGAATGTAGAAAATAGCTCAAGAGACTGTTATCTATTTTAATGATAAATAATGAACCAATTATTTACTAAATACAGTACATAAACAATATTTGTAAAATGATTTATTGTACTAATAAAATTAAATTGTAAACTTTTACATACCTTTTAAATTAACAATTTCATTATATATATTTGATCATCTAACGCGTTTCACAAGCGATTCAGTCTAAGAAGAAATTAAATGAAAAAGGAGAAGTTTGCAACCGCAATGTAGTTACCAGATAAGCTAACAGCTAGCTAAGCGTCTTGCATTTCTTCTTTTACTGCTACACTTTCTTCTTCTTTTATGTTTCTTGGCAGTCCGGGTGCCCCTGTGGTTCTGTACTTTCTTCTATAGGCCAGTCTTGGTACGACAACACATAGTCATATACTGTCGTTGTACACTACGCACAATGAAAGCACTAAGCACACGTTCGCCAATTTTTCCCCTGATAAAATCGGACAACGTTATAAAAAAAAAGTTGTCATGTGTGTCCAGTGTCCCCACTTGTTTATTACAACTCCCCAACTGCGATAGTGTAACTTCCCTTTCCTCCACTCGGTGTCGCTGGTTTAGCAACTAGCCGGGCTTGAAGCTAACCGACTTTAGTCAATAGGGCTCTGGGCCGGCATCTGGAAATGTCTCCGGAAGTGCCACAGCTACAGCAGACCGGCTTACGAGAAATTTGATTTATAATACGTTTCCACTAGCCGCAAACCGCGGGGGGTGTTTTGATTTTTGAGTGCGATGAGATGGACTAAAGGACACGTTATTCGCGGAAGGCTGGTGGAACGCTTAGCCGCCTTATGCTAACTAGCTCGGTGTCATTAACCTCGCTGGCCGGCTCGGTAAATATTGCCCTCCTCTTCAGGACTCATTTTATGCCTTTATATATTTGAACGGCAACAAGAGGAGTGTGAAATGGACTGCTTAATATTTCATTCCACGCTTTAACACTCAAGTTTTTCGTGGGCTAACAACGACCGCATTGTTTTCCCCTCCTCCTCCCTCTCCTCATGTTTGAAATGGAGACCCATGTTTCGTGCCTTTTCCCTGAGATCCTGGCCATCATCTTCAGCTACCTGGACGTGAAAAACAAAGGACGGGTGGCCCAGGTGTGCGCGGCGTGGAGGGACGCGTCCTACCACAAGTCGGTGTGGCGGGGGGTGGAAGCCAAGCTGCATCTACGCCGGGCCAACCCTTCCCTCTTCCCCAGCCTGCAGGCGAGGGGCATCAAAAAGGTCCAGATCCTCAGCTTGAGACGTAGTTTGAGCTACGTGATTCAGGGGATGCCCCACATCGAGAGCCTGAACTTGTGCGGCTGCTTCAACCTGACAGACAACGGGCTGGGCCATGCCTTCGTGCAGGACATCCTGTCGCTGCGGGTTCTCAACCTGAGCCTGTGCAAGCAGATCAGCGACTCTAGTCTGGACCTCATCGCCCGGTACCTGAAGAACCTGGAGGTTCTGGAGTTGGGCGGATGCAGCAACATCACCAACATGGGGCTCCTCCAGGTGGCCTGGGGGCTGCGCCGGCTCAAGAGCCTCAACCTGCGCAGCTGCCGCCACGTGTCAGACGTGGGCATCGGGCACCTGTCAGGCATGACGCGCAGTGAGGCGGAAGGCTGCCTGGCGCTGGAGAAGCTCACACTGCAGGACTGCCAAAAGCTCACCGACCTGTCGCTCAAGCATGTGGCCAAGGGCCTGGGCGGGCTTAAGATGCTCAACCTGAGCTTCTGCGGTGGCATCTCAGACGCCGGCATGATCCACGTGTCCCGCATGAGCCAGCTTGGCAGCCTCAACCTGCGCTCGTGCGACAACATAAGTGACACAGGCATCATGCACCTGGCCATGGGCTCGCTGCGTCTGTCGGGCTTGGACGTGTCCTTCTGTGACAAGATCGGCGACCAAAGCCTGGCGTACATGGCGCAGGGCCTCTACCGGCTCAAGTCGCTGTCGTTGTGCTCGTGCCACGTGAGCGACGACGGCATCAACCGCATGGTGAGGCAAATGCACGAACTCAAGACGCTCAACATTGGACAGTGCGTGCGAATCACCGACAAGGGCCTGGAGCTCATCGCCGACCACCTGACGCAGCTGACGGGCATCGACCTGTATGGATGCACCAAGATCACCAAGAGGGGCCTGGAGAGGATCACGCAGCTGCCCTGCCTCAAGGTGCTCAACCTGGGTTTGTGGCAAATGACAGACAGCGAGCGCGTCAGGTGAAAACAACTTTTCACGGACACTAAACTATTGAGGGAGAGAGCGGCGAGACGTTTGGCGGTTTTGGGTTCCAATCTCGAGTCCATCCCTCGCCCTTTGCATTTGTTGTCTCGGGGTACACTGGCTCCCACACACATTCCAAAACATGTTAACTTCATCGAAGACTAAATTGTCCATATGTGTGAGTGGTTGTTTTTCTACAGTATATGCGCCCTGCGATTGGCTGGCCACCAGTCCAGGGGGTGCACTGAACTCTCCTGTGACTAGGCATGGGCTAGATTCTGATGGGATGATAACCATGAGCATTACAGTATTATATTTACAGCTCTAAAATGACCTTTTTTACAATCATTTAAGTAAATAAAAACTTGGGTTGGGTATCGATTTAGATTTCCAAAATCGATTCGATTTACGATTCACTTTGACTGATTTTCGATTCAGTTAAGGATTTCACGCAGTACCGATTTCACTTTCATATGGAATACATTCCTAGGACAAGCAACGTTAGAAATAGTAGAAACTCTATGCTCTAACGTGGTGCATTAGTATGAATATATCTTAATATATGAATAGTATACATTAATAATTTAACCCAATGCAATAAAGCATACATGATAAAAATAATCATGTATGCTTTATTGAATATAACATGTTCATTAAATAAATCAATTCCAACCACAGGCTGTGTAAATAAAGTGGCAAAAACACACCGTAATCTCATTCCATTTACATTCCTGACTGTGACAAAGTTTCAGTTCTTGCTGTCTTCATGTTTTTGAAGACCCCAAAACCTCCAGACATTTGCCTTCCAGCTTGTTGCCACTGCTTTAAGTGCTTCCGCCATGCTGTTTTGATATGCTACTCTCGCATAGTGATGAGATCTCGCATGATGCGAGAAGTCTCACGAATTTATGGGAAAAAGATGTATTGAAAGGATCGATTCATGGTTTTATGAATCGATAGTGAGCCAAGAAAAAAACATTTGATTTGATTCATCGATTTAAAAAAAAACCAGCCCTAATAAAAACACCCGTTTTTTTCCATTGACCACAATCTATTCTCTTTTTAAACAAAATATAGAATATATAGTGTAGAAGAAATGTGTGTCATATTAACCAAGTTCAAATAAGTAATTGACATTGTTCTTCTGTTTTAAATCTTTTCAGTAAGTGTCCCATCACTCTTGAGCTATTATTGTTAAAGTAGACCCAGTGGGCTACTCATGTTGTCCTTGGGCTGTTGGCACTTTTTTTTTTTCTTCTCCAAAAAGAAAGATGACCTCGTTACTGGTGACAGCCAGTAACATGATTGAAACCTTGAGTTTTTGAAACCGCGTAAACCATCAAACCGATAATCAGCCCATGCCTACCTGTGACCCAGATCAATAGAAGCGCTATTAAAAAAAATGTTTCTTTTTTTCAGCAGCACGGCAGGCTAGTCGTTAGCATGTCTGCCTCTCAATCAAATGTTCAGGGTTCAAATCTCAGCTATAGCCTTCCGATGTGGAGTTTACATGTTCTCCCCGTGCTTACGCAAGTTAATTGAAGACTCTAAATTGTCCATAAGTGTGAATGTCAGCTTGTCTACAGCAGGGGTGCCCAAGTACGGTCCTCGAGAACCCCCATCTAGCCTGTTTTAGATGTCCGCCTCCTCCATCTCTCCTGATTCAAACGATCAGCTCATCAGCAAGCATTCCCGAAGCCTAATAACAATCCTGATCGTTTGAATCAGATGTGTTGGATGAGGGAGACATCTAAAACAGGACCGGGCATGGGCATCGCTGGTCTACAGTGTATGTGCCCTGTGATTGGCTGGCAACCAGTCCAGGGTGTGCCCCCACCTCTTACCCAAAGTCAGCTGAGATTGGCTGGAGCAACTTAATCGTGTGTACAGTTGTTTAGCTACCTCTCCCGCACACACACAGCAGTGCCTACAGCTCAGTACTAGATGTTAACTTTGCATATTTTTGCAACTCCAGCACAAATTCTGCCCTTGGTACAAACTAAAAAAAAAAAAAAATCATGGTAATAATAATAATAGGTCGGCATTTTCATTCTTAAGGCTGGCATAGCTACTGGAATTTGTACTCCTTTTTTGGCTGTTGTATTTTTTTAACAAGCAATATTTTTGTATGGAATAATTTTGTACTTCAAATTGAAGTTGTTTATACGTTGGTGTAGAATGCGGCGGCGACGTTCCAAGAGGACAACACACAAAATGAAAATTCACTCTGCCCCAGAACTGCGGCCTTGTGGCTGACGGTTATTAAGGCTTTATGCAACAAAGAAGCAAAAAAAAAAAAAAAACTGTTCAGTGGATTTTTTTTTCTCACGAGGAGCTTCCAACGATAGTCTTGAGTATTTGTTAAAAAAAAAAAGTAACAGTAATTTAAGATGTTTTATATTCATACTGTAGTGATATTTATGAATAAAGATGGAAATATGTTTCTCTTGAATCTCGCATCTGTGTAGTTTTTCAAAATAACATGAATACACACACTGGCACATTCAAAACTTTTCAGCCTCCCCGAGTTAATACTGAGCAGGACCACATTTTCTGCGGTTTTTGGGGGATGTATGAATGTTGTTCCACTTCACTAGTGTGTCCCACTTGGTGGTAATCCTTCACCCAAAAAGAAAAAAAATGTATCTGCTTGAAGCCTAAAATGTAGCAAAAAGTTCAAGGGGGCCGAATTCTTTCACAAGCAACTGTATAGGTGTTTGTACATGTATATTCACAGTTAGTCTATGTATGTATAAATACATAGGTACTGTGTATACAGTATTTTAATTTACTGGTACCTGTATATTATGTGTACACAGTATTCCCCACAATGAGTGAAAAACACGTTATAGAAATGCATTATATTGCTTTGTAGCATTTACAGTACCGGGTAATTTATTTTTTTCAAGGTCTTTGTGTGGGATGTATATAGATATAGATAGATATACAGGATAGAGATATAGAGATCCATCTCTATAGAGATAGTCATAGATATATGGAGATAGAGATATCTTTGGAGAGAGAGATAGACAGCTATCTATAGATAGGTATCTATAGAGAGAGAGATTCAACAAAAGCAAAGAAATAAGGCTTATAATTTATTTATTTACATACATACAAAATCCAAACACCTCACAAATATGGTCAGGTTTTTGTTTTTTTGCAACACATCCAAGGCTGAACATGTTTCTTTTACAAATGCCAAAACAAAGGAATTCTTCTGAATAATAATACAAAATTGAAAAATAAAGTCACTTGAATTCCTCAACAGACTTGTTTAAGAGATGAGACGAGACATTAAGGCAAATGCAAGGACACACACACACACACACACACACACACATGCTGAACGGAAAGTAAACACATACACACATTTGGTCGTTGTGGTGGCCAGTCCACATTTGAATTTATGAAGCAAGTACATACAAGTTTGTTTCCTAGGCTGGAGTTGTATTTTCTCCCCAAGCCTCCCATAGAGTACAATACAGAGGGACCGGCAAAGTCCAACAGTGAACATTTCTTTTCCCCAGAAGAAAATCTTGACCAAGCTACACATTACTGTGATTATGAGTATTATAATATAGGCATGTCTTTACTTGGAGTGGGATTGGTTACAGCAAAAGTAAAACTACCGGTATTTAATGTAAGGAATTGCATAACCTAAGTTTAATTTCTGTTCCTGTGCTTGTTACATTTTTTCATGACAGCGTCTTTTCTATAAAGGACTACAGCTATCGAATCATTTTAGGATCAAGTATTCAACTGATCATCATCACCATCAATTGAATTACTGTTGAAAAATGGATTTTGTTTTCTCAAACACAGTAATGTGCAGGGTGCAGGTATTATTTTTGTTTACTTGGGGATTGCTGACATTAAGTAATATCTGAGACTTTGAGTGTATGCAGCTTTAAAAGGCGGGACTAGCCTGGTGAGTGACATGGGTGTCAGTGGATGAGAGTGTAGTTAGCAAGTCTGTGTGTTTGCGTGACTGAGTTTTTGCCATCAGCAGCACGTGTATGAAATGCCAAAGCAGATATTTTGTCTCTTTTTGTTAAATGTAATCAAATTATTGAAGTTATTCAATTAATTGTTGCAGCCCTATACAAAAAAAGCCGAAGAAAAAGCAAAAGGTACATAATGGTTTGGTGTGAAGTCCAAACTGGGACTTTGGAGGTGCCAGTGTAACTGAAAAGAGCTTAACATTGTAATGTCAGGCTTGTATGGAACTCACTGACAATCAACACGAAATGTTCAAAACAACACCAAACAGTACTCTCTCCCCATCACGCAATCACATGATTTGGATACATTTTCTTTTCCTTAGTGACGCACACAACTTTCTGTCCGGAGCCGCTCATTCCTCGGGATTCTGTGCAAACATTCAATGTACAGCCATACAGTTAACATTTATACATATCTATGCACTTATATTCATATATTTCTATCGAAGATTCTGCAGACTTTAGTCAGCAGAACTCACACGCACATTTTGTCTCTGTGACAAAAGTAAACAGCACTGTTTCTTATTTTTTGTTATTCTTTTTAAAACCTCCAAAAATAATGCACGACATGGCCCACTTATCTCAATTCAGTCACAGCACATGTTAAATATCACTTTATTTACAAACTGATGTTAAAAAGTCTAATTGAAAGAGCCCTGAAGAGAACACTGAACGAAATTAGGGAGCCATTGCTTACTTTTTGTTGCATTTGGCCAACTGAACATTTTGGACCTTCTAACATCCATTAGGAACTTGAGATCAACGCCAAATAGACCACGGGAACAAATTCTTACATCATGCCTTGATAGCACCAATAGTACAGGAAAAAAAGAAAAAAAAAACATCCCTGGGCTAGGTCCGCAACTGCCCCACTCCCCAACCTCTCATACATGCTCCAAGGCCACTAAAACGTTCTCAAAAGAAACTTTGCATACCTCATAACAAGTGTGCAAAACCATACACAGAATAACAGGGTAAAAATGCCTTATTTGCCCCTCCCTCAGTCTCTCTCATCCTTATATTAAGGAGACATATTATGGAAATTGACTTTTTAGTGTCTTACATAGAAATGCGGTGGTCGCTAGACTTACGAGTCAAATTCCAAACTTGGTACTCAATTGACTCAATGATAAAATAAATTTTTCCCAATGAAATGAATTGAAAAGTCAATATCCGTTCCAGAAAAAAAAAGTAATATAATGTGAATTTTGTTTTCCTAAACGAAAATATAAATTGAGGTTTCCTGTCCAAAATTGTACATCCCTTCTCACTAAGTCATTTGGCAAAAAAAGTGAGACAAGAGGGTTTAGAATTGTCCCTAATGTAGCCACAAAGTCGCCAAATTAGCAACACTGAGTAGCTGCTGACTTCCTTGTATGCCTGAACACTGACCTTGGCCATCATGGTAACGGAAACCATACTTGGCGTTTTCAACTGGAACATGACACTGTGCTGTCTTTGACAGTTATGTATTTTGATCAAAGAACATAACAGCGCTTTTATTAGGGAACTTTTAAATTGGGGGGGAGCAAAAATGAATAATAGTCTCCTTTAAAAGAACTTCAGAGAAGGACCCCTCTTTATGGCCCTGATCCTGACAAGTCCCAAAAGATCTAATCCTAAAAATCCGCGGCTTTGAAGACTGGATGAATGTGAGTGTTCATGCTTGTTTGCCTCTAAGTGCTCTGCCATTGGCTGGCGACCAATGAGGGTGTACCCTTCTCTCCCCAAAAAATCAGCGAAGAGAGGCTCCAGTTACATGCCACCCAAATGAGCACAAGTGCTATGGAAAATTCATGTGTTTGACTGTAGAAGTTCGACTGCATCCTCCAAATGTGCAATAATGTTGTGTCATGTTAAATATTGTGCTCTTTCTTTGACTTGTGTCTTACAGTTCAAATAAGAATAAAATGCCATCAAAATGGGACAGGAAAGCACTTTCAAGTTAGTTTTGGGAAGAAACCTCCGGTGTTGTAACCCCGTGGGGAGAGCCTTATAAATGTTGGAGGTGAAATTGGGTCTATCGCCGGGGGGGTTGTGAGGACCAAACCTGGGCCGCTCCCATGGGTCAGCACGACTCCTCCAGCGCATTGACAACCTGCTCCAAGATGTCAGGGCAGCAGTCGGCGATCTGCTGCAGGACACAGTTGGCGTACTCCTGCAGCTCACTGCTCTCCTTTTCGCACAGCTCCAGCTCCTTCTCCAACTGGACACCGGAAGGCAGCGGGTCAGCAACATGATTCGGTTTAATGCATGTACTGTATTAGAATGGGTTTTTTTTGGAGGGGGGGGGGGGGCTGTCTCTTTCAATGTCAATTTCAAGTCACACATACTGCTTCCCGTATGACTATTTAAACTGACAGAGCACATCAAACTTCAGACACCCAAATTGGCATGCTTGTCCTCTACCTGTTCCACCGGCATCTTCAGGAGCTCCTCCTCCCAGTTATCCGGTTCGCTGCGGTGGTAGTGGGCGGGCGGCGTGTGCTGGCTGAGGATGCTCGGGTCGCGGTCGTAACAGAGGTCGGTCAAGTGGGCGATGTAGAGCTTGAGCTTGCTGCGGTTCTGGCACAGGGCTACAACAGGGGTAATCATCTGTGGGGGAAGAGTTGTCCGACTTTATGCTTCGGTTTAGGTGGGCAACATGAAGACAATGTAAGCACCAGGAGGCGGGTATTCCGTCAGACTGACGGAAAGTCCAAGGTCTGTCTGTCACTGTTTCCATGAGAATTTCAGGCCAACCCGCATGGGGCCCAGTCTGTCTTGCGTCGACGACAACCAATCGGCGTCGAGATTTCCACATCACATGCAGGCGCTGCACAAGCCGACATGCAGCCAAAGCACACACACAGTGGTGATTGGTGAAATAAAAACAATATGGGATATGTCACTGAGGTCTGTGGGACTCAAAAGGTATAAAACATCGTTTTATTTATTTATTTATGCATTTCGTGTGTCGTATTACCAGTAAATCCGTTCTCAAAGCTATTTGGGGACAACTCGGAAGGACCGGGCCTGCCTGAAATACTGACAGCAGCTCACTGACGGACTCACTGCACTGACAATAATATTTCTACCTCCTCCCAACTCGCTACTCTGGCGATATGAGGTGCCAAAAAGATGTGGACATACAGGCAGTGGACCACATTTACTTACGTAAACACTGTTTCACATGACATCTTTTTTTTTTTTTTTTTTTGCTGCACGTCTCTAGACGTCGTACTTTGTGCGCGTGCATGTCATGTCACAGGAAAAAAAAAATCTAAATTTACACCCTGCAGTGTGAACATAGTCTTAGAGTATTGCACTTTCTTTATTTCGGACACTCAAGCGGTGCATGCAGAAACAATTTTTTAAAAAAGCACTTGAGACCAGCACCGATGACGACCACCAACACTGAGGTCAGGAAAATGATGCAACAGTAAAACAACAACAAAGACAAATGCAAGATGAATAATGGGTAAAAAGATAGAATGGCGCAGTGACAAAATGTAAGACACATTAATTATTTTAGACAAGCTCACCCTTGGGAACAAAATGGCAGAGAGAGAGAGAAAGTGAGGGGGGCGGGCACAATGTTGGCTATGCCCAAATACCCTCCTCATCATCCTGTTAGGCCATAATGTAGGCCAGGCGCAGCGTTAGAGAGAATATTTGGTTAGTGTGGCAAGGCAAAGCTGAACATCAGCAGACATGATTATCTTGTTTAATCTGAGATGAGCAGTTAGTGTAAGGATGAATACAGAAACTCGGTTGTTATTTGAGCACGAGTACACTACCTGATCTGGGGAGGGCTTGTGGTTTGTCTGGTCGGGGGCTGTCTTCAGGTGCTCATCCTCATAGTTGTCTGCCATCAACTTCATGCGGTTCTGAGTCTGACCATTAACAACAGAAAAAAATTACACTATACAGACAGTTAGGAACCTATTTTATTTGTTGATATTTCCATTACTTTCCATCTAAATTACTTCAGAAAAGGGATGTCCTAATCCTATTTTTTGCACCCGAGTAGGAGTCATGTCATTTTGAGTATCTGCCAATATTCTAAGAAATATGGTCCATCGAAAATAGTCACAAAAACGAAATGTACGAATATTAATTAATGCTCGCATATGACAGTTTGTATAAAATGCCCAAAGGTTTCGAGTTCCAAGGGAAAGAGAATAGTTCTAAAATCCCTAAAAATAATAATAAAATTAACTTGGGGTGTTCCCTTGTTTTTTTTTTTTTTTAATTACCCAAAAATGTCCAACCTGCTGTACTGTGTATCTGCACCACCCACCTGCTGCTTGAGCTGTTGCACCAGTCGATCTTTCTCTCGCTTCAACAAAGACACTTCGTCCTGGGTCTTTTTCTTCTTGGAGGACGACAATTCCAGCAGGGCAATATTTGCATCCTTCTCACTGATGGCCGCCAACAGCGCCTCCTGCCTGACAGGGTGGGAGTGACAAAAGCGGCTTTTTCCAAAAAAATGCACAGAAATGAGAGAGATCTCTACACAGTGAAAACATTTTTTAAGTGAGGGATTCATTCCAGCCTCCCACCCCACAATTGGTGAAAATTCACTATATAGAGAGTTCCTCGTACATCAGTTGCCAAAAAAGCGGGTTGACACTGTACACGCCACTAAATCCTCTTTCCAGCTGGGGACAACCGGAAATGAATGACATTATTCAATGAATAATTCGCCCTGTTTCAATAATAAGTACTTACTTCATCTCTAGCACCTCCTCCAGGTGCTTTCTGCGCTCGGCTCGCAGGGTGGTGAGGTGGGCTTCCTTTTCGCAGAGAGACTGCTGGGTGGAGGACAGTTTGGCGCGCATGGATTCTAGCTCTTGCTTCACCTTCTCCATGGCCCCTAACAGCTCCTCCATCTTGAAAGACATACACACATCACTTTAAAAAAGAGGAAGACAGAAAAAGTATGTTTTGCCCTGATGAAGTGCTCTGATAAAACATGAGGACAGCTGAATTCTGGTGGAAGTGGGTAAGGGGTAAGTGAGGTAGCATTCAGTGATGGTGGAAGTTTTATTTACCTGTTATTTGCTGATGCTATATACTCAATGAGCACTTTATTAAGTACAACAACACAAGGCAATTAAATCTAATTGATGAACTGCATCATATTCTAATTTATAATATTTGGTTTCATCAATGAGAGAGGCACTAAAGTGGCATTAAATAATCAGAGTTCAAGTGACAAAACGATTTTTTGGGGGCTTTGTGGCACAATTATGTGGCAATGTAAATGGGGGGGAAAATGAAATCAAATCATCTTTTCCCATTTAAATGGTTGAAAAATGTTGATCTATTACGGCTTCCACAAAACACCAACAATAATGTTTGTAATGTATTGTCACGGCCCCTCCCCTGTCCTGCTGGGGCAGTTCCTCAGGCAGGCAGTGGGTGGGGTCCTCTTGAATGGAGCCACCTGGCTCACCGACATAATATAGGTGTGCTCCATTAATCATTCTCCTTTGCTCCCTACCCCCAGGTAACAGTCCTTTTTTTGTTTGATTGGCTGTCTCATTCACACATGATCGCACATTATCTTACTTTCCTCCATGCATTTTGCACACACTTCAGATATTTACATGCCAGACTACAAATCATGCATGATTAAAAGCCGCGAAAGTTAAATTTAGCCATAGCAACACATTTGTACAAGGTACCCACAATTGGCTGCAGGTCTCCACATTATAACATGATATTTGAAAAGAAATCGGTGGCACAGATATATTTCTAAAAACCTTTTGACCGTAAAGACCAGTAGCGGGCCTAACTTGAATATATTGATTTCTCTACAGGGTTTTCACATTATTTTCTGTCTCTAAAGCAAAAAAGGCCACTGTGTATTGCATACGGCTATTCCAATGAGTGTAGAAGAAGTGCTACATGCACATTTCATCGGTAAGAATGCTACAGCACGATCCATTCCAGCCATTGAAGAAAGCACTTTCCTCTTTTTCAAATTTGCTCACAACTCAATAAATAAACAAGTAAGTAAATAGATAGATAAAATGAGCGATGGCTTATCTTGGAAAAAAACAATAAATACATTAAAAAATAAAAACTCCTGATTAAGTTCACTTGTAAGTCGAGATACCACTGAAATTTGGATACCTGTGCATGTGGGCTGTTTCATGCATTTATCAGTGTAAACACAGGCATATCAGACAGTGTGTGTCACTTGAAATGTAAATGGAAATTGGTCACTTACAATGTAAATCCAGGCTAGGGTGTCTACCTAGCTGACATTTTTTCAAATTGTAGATGTAGTTTGAAGGACTGCATCAGACAAAGAGCTTTTTAATAGTTTGAATATTAACCTAGCTATAACTAGGCAAAATATTAGAAAAACCCTCATAACCCAACCTGGAACCATACAAACGCAATGCAGATCTTTTACTGCATTTTATTAGATTTTGTGTACCCAATGTTGTGGCTGTTGAGTATACATAGGTACTCATGACACAACCATAAATATTTTGGTTTTTTAAATTTGAAACTCCATGGTGACTCATAAGCACTGGTGTTTTTATAAGCAAACAACAGGTAAAGAAACATGTAGGTTCGGCAGCAACAAGTCCAACACAATGCAATACAGTGTTCCTTAACTATGCCCTAAAAAGAATTGCCTATGTACGCCACAAGATGGCGGCAGAGGACTACTTAGCTCCTGTACTGACTTCATGTTCCTTGGCACCAAGATGGCACGAAATGGCACCAAAGCAATATTTGTGTATTAGACAGGGCTTTGTCCTAACCCAGCCGCTGGGGGGCAGTGCCCTCCCCTGGGGGTGCACTGTTCCCCAGTGCCGGTCCCAAGCCCGGAGAAATGGGGAGGGTTGCGTCAGGAATGGCATCCGGCGTAAAACTTTTGCCAAGGCGACCATGCGAGTTGGTAGGACGGTTTACAGGGGCGGATGGAAATTACTGACTCGCTGTGGCGACCCCTGAATAGGGACGTGCCGAAAGGAGAAGAAGAAGAAGAAGACAAGGCTTTGTCCTCAGCACTAACACAATGAGAAGGTGAATTTTTCAGCAAATGAAGGAGCAGGTTCCCCCAAAAATAATTTGCAAATCGTGAAATGTGAACATGTCGGGGAGACACTGTAAAGCAAATAACGTCTGAGTTACATTCAGGTTGCATGTGTGCAGAAGATGTTGCTGTTCATGGTACTTTGTCACCACTGAGTGAGGTTCTTTCACACTCACACACACATACAGGGCTCATACCTTAGACCGCGTTAAGTGGGCGCGGTTGGACTCATGCATTGCATTGACTGAGTACTTCTGACAGGCGGTGAGTAGCGGAAAGAGGAAGAAGGAGAGAGAAAAAAATGACAAAAGAACTGAAAGAAGAGGAGGGGCGGCCAGCCAAGAAGAAGGATGTCAATTTAAAAAAAGGATGATGACCACGCCGCTGGTTTTCTTCCAGCCAACAGTGAAACGTGATGACAGTTCTTTGCGCTCGCCATGCCTGTACCTGTTTCTCCTGCAGGGACCTGGCAGCCTCCTCCTGGGCCAGCACCATCTCTCGCTCCGCGGTGATCTGCACACTCTCTCTCAAGGCCTCCTCCAGCTCCTCGATGCGCTCCGACTTCTGACGCAAAGAGTCCTATTGACCCGGAAGAGGCAATCAAAACAAATTCATGTGAATCCTTTGCGCTGAGCGTCACACATACATACACGGCTCACCTTCACCTGCAGCGAGCTCTCTGACATGTTATCCTCACGCTTCTTGGCCTCCTCCATCAGTCGGGCATTTTTGCTTTTCTCCACCTGCTCCTTGTGCTTCAGAGATGCCACCTTCTTTGTCTGGTCTTTCATCTGCCTGTGGGAGGCAACAGACAGACATAGGAGGAATCAACTGGGTTATACTTTGAGAACACCAACTAAAGCAGGGTACACATTTGAGCATTCTCCCTCAGTTGCGAATAAAGGTCGGCACAGGCCCGATTATTGACCGTTTCTAAAACAGCGATTCCCAATCACTCTGGGGCAACATAGTGTGCTGTGATAAATCATCAGGTATGCCTTAAGAAGTTATCCTAATTCAGCTGAATAGTACAAATATTTGTACTTAGGACAAATAATGTATCATTGTTTTGATCCATCCGTAATTTCTGGGTCACTTGAGGCATGCTCATTTTATTTTAGAAAATAAATTCCCCCACTCAATCCGGATTTGCTGCTTGCAAATTCTTGACTTGCCAACAGAAATTGAGATATGAATGCTTGACTGTGGCAATGAACTCAACTCAGCACACTCAAACAATTTGCCACAGTGAACAGGTCTTTTCAAAAGAGGCTTTCACGAGTTTAATACTTCTCACATCTTAAATTTATTGGCAAGCTACACATAAAACAAAGAGAATTACACATGGTGTATTCAAAACAACCAGATAAGTGAAGTCTGTTAACAAAATGCTATTTATCATGAGATAGATCGCCTAACAAATAGACTCGACAGCGGTGTTACAGTGCTTTTTTGGTAGTTTTTTGGTGAGGAGGCTAACGGATTAATGACATATCCATTTATTTCAATAAGGAAAGACAATTTGCGAAAGGAGTGTTTGGAGTTACGAGTATGGTCACGGAACAAATTAAAGTCATATCTTAAGAAACCATTGTACATATTTTTTATAATGCAAATTCATAATGCTTTGTGTTTGGAGATGGATGAAGAGGAAAGTCTGGGCTTCTCTGCGTCAACTGCTGCCCCTGCGACCTAACTTCAAATAAGCTATTGGATGGATGGATGGATGGATGGATGGATGCATGGATCAGGCTTTTTATGAGTCAAATAGCAATGAAAAATTTGGTTCAGTTAATATCTCAGAGTCTCACATATCTTTGTATTTTGTGCCAATGCATTTACATGCCGACCGCAAGCTAACATGCACACTTTTAACCAAAGGCTTCAGTGCTGCATGCAGAGTCCACTGATGCACATAAATTACAAAAAAATTACACACACAAAAAAAAAAACAAACAAACAAATATGCTTCTGCAAGTTAAAAAACAGACAAAATAGTAATTGCGGTGAATGATGAAAATAGTGAAGCAAGCATGTAAGTACATATACTAACCTGGAGGCCAAACTGTCAGGGTGAAGGATTTCCATTGAAAAAGCAAGCCAGAATTAAAAGAGGGTGTACAGTATATACCAATTAGGAGAAGTGAAGTGTAAGAGCGGAGACTTCATGTGCTCTGATAATAACTACAATATCTCACAAGCAAAACGATTTAATTGGCGCCACTGAAGTCCAAGCTAAAGAGAGATGCTATTGAGAAGTAACATAAGTGCTGCATTAAAAAAAAAAAAAAAGTCTTTCTAAAAAGATGGTTCTTCTCAAATTTGATATTCACAGTCATGTTAAGTAATTACTTGACACCATAACAACATTGTGGTTGGATTAGAGTTGAATTTATTTTTAGACCTCTTCGACGCTGCTGTCGTATTCGTTTTTACTTTTTGCTAGTTTTGAATTTATTAATAGCAGAATATATGTATGTGCTATGCCCATTTAATTTCCTTCATGGAATGAAAGTCTTCCTCACTGGTTTGGCAGCTTGTTCTTCGGGGGTCAGCAGGTGAGCTCTCAGCAGACAAAAGCTTACAAAAACAGTTTTGGTGCACTCAAAACACACTTTTGTACAAATCCTGTTTGCCTGTCTACCTGTTTGAACATTGCGCTGGGGCCGCACTTGGCCAATCACGCATTAATTAGTTTAGAAAACGCTATTCAAATAATTGACATTCAATGATTAATCTGCCTTTTGTGTGCACAGGTGCACCCTTTGTGGCTTCTGTTCTTGCTAAAATTTCGAAATCTCCGAGATATGGCGAGGCCATGAGAATGCGAGGGGAGGGGTGTTACTGTTACTAGTGTTAGTGCCTCAACATGGCTATGATCGTGAAAGCAAAACAATGAACTCAAACGTGTGTTCGTTCATTGTTGTCAACTAATATCTGGATTCATTTTAGGCAATTTTTCCTCAATTTTATGGAGGAATTTTCATGAAAATTTGAACATCCAGAATTCCGGGAAAATCTGGAGGACTTTCATCACTAAATATTAGGACTCTTTTTTTTCTGACATTGATCACCTGTATATTGTGATGCATATTGAAATTGAATTATGGCCCAACCCTATCTTCATCTTTTATTGGATTGTGCAAGTGTATTTTATTGGGGGGGGGGGGGGGGGG